GAAATGAGCTCAAGGCGCTGCTTGAGATTGATTGATGCATATAACATTCACAAAACTCTTCCACATAAAGTTAAGAACTTTACACCATGAAAGGTAAGAAAATTTTGGGCCAGAACAACTCAAACGAAAAACAAAAAGGGAAAAAAAATGTAACTCTAGTACTTATGATTTGAATCATCCCGTCTTTTCATTTGTTCCGTTTTAGTTCTTGTACTTTCGTAAAAATATTAATTCTGCCTCAAAATCGAACTATCCAGTTAAATAGCAATCGAAATACATCTATATATGAGGACTTAGTGTGTAACGGTGCGACATATAAAACTGTCATCGCAACTCCCCACATGTACTAAGCCCCAACCATTCGATACGATTTAACTGGATAATCGACCTCAGAAACTAAACTAATATGTTCACAAAACTACCGAGACTAAATCGAAACAAATCGAAGTATACGGAAAAATGACAATGTGAAGCGACTATAATTGTGATTAAACCCCAGAGAGGCAAAAACAGAAGAGGTAGTATCCTATATACAGAACTGGTAAAGAACAGTAGATACTCTTGTAAGACGAAGTCAAACCTCACACAAGCTTATTCTGTCCTAGCAAATCCATTGGGTTGTGTTCCGTTGCAACCCTTCGATAAAAGGTTACATCCGTTGAGGATAAGCACCGACACGAGCCCTGCATTTTATGAAAAGAAACATATTCATATAAAAGGTAAGCAGCCATGGAAATGAGCAAGAAGGTCAGTCTCTGCTGCCCGTCCCCGAGAGAAAGTGCTTCGTGCAGAGAAAAGAACAAAAAGGAAAGACTGTACAGCTTTCATCCTGCCTACAGAATAAGTTAAGCTCAACTTCCTCGAGTGGCTGTCAATGACTTCTTGATTCTGTTCAAAGTCCTATCAACGTATTACTTCCTTGCCTGCTTTATCTTATGTTATGTTCAGGCTTAACGACCGGGAAATGGGAACCCGAAAATCTCTTCCCCTTTATTCATTAGTGAAAAAAGCCACCAGATTCCCAAGCAAGAGTGTCCTAATTATGTAAACCGTCGTCTAAAATGTCTTGTTGTGGTTTGGTATGAACGCATGAGCAAGCCGACACCGATTCCAACCCCGAGGCACACACCGAGACCAATACCAACACCCACTCTAACCCCTGCATTGAACCATGAAAGCTGCCCATCTTCGCCAGTGTACATATCATCACTGTAGAAACCATGCCCCATTTTACCATCTGGGTCATAATCATCAACTTCAGACTCTATCATCTACATGAATCCAAGAAAGGAATGTAATCAGTAATGTAAAAATCAACTAAACAGTGTTCCACACCTCACAAGAACTCGACAAATCACAGGGGTACATAGTAACTTAATTAGAGATCGACGTATTCCCAGAAATTGCCTAGTTTAGAACGATTGATCGAGTACAATGCAGTCAATCAACAGCCGTAAGACAACCAAGATTTTAACAGCAATAATATGAAAAGTAGTGTTCAAGCAATAGAGGAGAACACGAACTGAATTCACAACCAGAAACTACAGTAAAGAGAGAAAAACACTTTTATTCCTATCACACATGTTGTGTATGAGCATTCTACCATGAAATTTTGAACATTTTGGTTCTTTCTAAAGCATTAAATACTGTGAAGAGCATGATACATTGGAAGATTCACTACTCAAAATGTCACCCAACTCTATGGCGTATGGAAATTCATTACCGAGAATTATGAGGCAAGACGACCACTATTATGCTGGATTCAAGCCCATGTAGAGAGCTCAATAATTTAAACTGAAGTGTGTGAAGTCCTCGAGGATGTAAGGTAAGGGATCCTCATACCCCGTTATCAAAAATAAATAAATAACTACAAAAACAATGATCTTAGCTTAATATCATGTGGAAGTTCATGAACAGCATCTGCTGCAACTCTTACCGGTCCTGAGTTGTGTAGATTCGGAGAATTATTGTTCGTGGATCAACAAACCAATTTATATCCACCAACAAAATGCGATGTGCACTCTAGAATTCCTGAGCTCATACAACGCCGAAAGAATTGAGAAGAAAAAATATAAGAAGAGAACAAAATTTTACCTGCACTTTCTGGTGCCGAATCAACCCATTACTTGTATTCTCCTCCTTTCCCACTTCTTCATCCTCCGGAATTGCATCCAGGGCACATTGCCTCAAGTTCTTCCGCCTCGGACTAACCTGAATCGTCTGCGTCAATATCACAGGCATACCGGAACAACAACCGGCGATATAAACCTCAATTGCCGGTGAGGATACCCCAAGTTTAGGCTGGAAAAAGGCCGACGAACCCGAACACATGGACGCAGCCATGAAACATTCCATAGTCCAACCTGTCTTTGAATTGTTCTCCAATCCAACGCTCCCATTAATCCAGTTGGTCTCGATTCGTTCCAAAGACCCACAGAGAATCAAATCCTCATTCTCATACACCTCGAACTCCACACCCCCCGTAACCCGAATGCTATCGGTGCTAACGTATGTAACCTCCGAGGATTCCTTGTTGAGCCGATCGCGGCGAAGGGCTATAGAAACAGAGTCGGAGGCCGGAATTTGAGACCCATTAATCTCAAGGGAAACACCAATTTCGCGTCGAAGGTGACGCAGATTAAGATGGTCGGGAACGCTATCAATCACACAGGGAGAAATCCGAACGTAGAAGAGCCGAACCTCAAACCAAGCAGAATGGCTCAAGGAAGGTCCATTGATATACGAATTCGAGGTTCTGGAAATCGCCATGGACGAATCTCTTTCTTGGAAATCCATCAGATCCTCGAATTCGGGCTCCGATTCAAGAGAATGAGAAAGTACAACGTAATGGAATCAGTTTTCTCAAATATTGGGCATCATCGGAAGAGAAAACCGGTAAGGTTTTCGGAAAACAACAAACTGGGGGCGAAAATTAGGGTTTTGAAAAGGGAAAATTGGTGGGAAATGGAAGGTTTTAAGGGAATTGCTTGGTTTTTTCATGTGTGATTAAGAACAGGAGATAAATCCTCCACAATTTGGGAGGCCATCGTATTGCAACAGTGATGGGGGGCGAGGCTGATCTGTCTGCTGAAGATTTTTCTTCGTCTCTTTTTTTTTTTTTTTTTTTTTTTTTTTTT